GCAGGTCCCATGAAGGGACGGTAGGGGGACGAGGCGGATTCAGCCTCCTTGCACCCTTCAGGAAGCGGATGACCACGCTATTTCTGCCCACTGATTGGCCCTCAATAGGGACATGAGAGGCCGCTATAACCACCACATAGACTTTGAGCGTGGATGGAGAGCGACCCTTATCCAGCAGCTCTTGTAGAAAAGACAGCACCTCTACTAATTCGGAAGTGAGAGGGTGTTTGCCGCGGTTTAAACACCAGGCGGAGAAAAAAGACCACTTTAAGGCATAGAGGCGTCTCGTAGACGGAGGTCCCGATTCCAGCTGCGAAGGCGTGTCAACGGCGAGCAGGCTTTCAGGATCAGCGATGAGCGTAGAGTCGTCGCTGAAGGAGAAAAAATCTGAGAATCCTGTGGCGAGCGCCCGCTTATATAGCCAGATGCCCCGCCCATTCTGGCGGGCTTCGTCGCCATAGGCTCGTGCAGCTCAGCTGCCGCGCCATTGGTTAGTTTTTTAAAGCCCTGCACGAACCAATGGCCGTGCAGTTTCACTGCGTGAATGAAATAGGCTTCAGTTCAGGAGAAAAAAGGCTTTTTCCCATATGCGTCTTAAGCAAGACGCAGTACGAGTGAAGTATCGAAAGGGAACTGTGGTCAGATGAGATGTTGTCAGGCCATTATGTCAGTAAAAACCAATTTTCCTGTTCTGTCAGCCATATACTGTATATTTTGGTGAGTGCTACATTTTTAGAACGTGATGTGATGAGCAAGACTCTTCAAAAGCTGCCAGAGCAAAGGTCAAGCACGTCTGTCTAACGTATGTTTGCAGGGGCGCCACTATGGTTTCTGGGCCCCCTGAACAGCATATTGACTCCGGGGACGGAGGGAGGTCCCCCTCGGTAAAAATCGCGTTCCGGGCCCCCTCTCCCTCTTCGGGCCCTTGGAATTGTCCCAACATCCCCCCCCCATTATGGCACCCCTGTATGTTTACATAGAAAAACAATGGAAAAGCTGCAGAACAGCAGAATGTAAAAATGTTCTTTATGCAAATTGTTTCAGGTTATTAGAATAAATTAAAAATGCTGTGTCATGCATGAGATGCTATAAAAGACGATATATCGCAACAGTCATTGTTTTCACAATAAAACTGTTTACACTTCAAACTATTGTGTTCATAATTAAGATAATACATTAAAATAATATGATAAGGCACACCAGTTTGCAATATCAAGCAGCAAAATGAGCTGTTTTTTACAGCTAAAAATAGCTGGAAGCAGATGACACCGGAAGCCAGACCCATTCAATTTAAAAATGGCCGCGCCCGCTTTTACGGGAAAAATAAGGTGGAGAACTCTTACCTGCAGCTCCAGCACTTTGATGCGATGTCTGTGATTCCTCAGTTCTTCTTGAAGCTCTGAGATGGTCTCTTTCAGGTCCTGCATTTGCTGCTTGCGCTCTTCGTTCTCACGCAGCCAGTAGGAGACCTCATCTGTACAGCGGAACATGTCCGGACACCTCTGCTCCTCCAGATGAGGTAATGTGGCTATTAAACGACATTGTCTGTTTGGCATCACTTCATTGCTGTATTCACCACACTGCATTAAGCCACTGCTAACTCGATATGTCTGAGAAGTGTCTGTTTTGTCTGTGGTTTTAGATTCTTCAACAGTCTCTTTGGTTTTGACAACAGGGAATTGGACCCATGCTGCCCAGAGTAACAAAGCATACAGCAGAGATACCATTCTGCAATAGACTGAAGTTCTCCAGAAGACGTAAGGACTGGAGAGTGAAATCCTCATCAGACCCTGAAACCTGTTTGGGTCCTCAGATTGGCAAAGCCTATTTCCTCATGGTTTAATGCTGTCACTAGATCTCTCCAGGGCAGATGAGATGTAAATTAGATAGAGGAAGCTGATTGGCCAAACATTTGCCAAAAATCCTCAACAAATTGCCACCCAGCATTCTGCATAACGAAATAATAGAATTGATGGGTCTATGACATGACACTCATTTATTCAGTACATAAAAAATTTAGTTCATACATGCCATACATGCCTCATACATGTCTTTAACAAACAGTACAATTTCTGAATTAAAATTCATTTTGGCATTTTTGTGGGGCAGAATGTCAAAAAATGTATATCATGATTTAAAAAGAAAAAATCTTTAAAAGAAACACATTATTGTAGTTAGCCATAGTTTTTACTATTATTTCTTGAAAAAAAAAAAAAATCTTATTAATATTTGTCATGTGTAAGAGAGGACCTCTGCACTGCAGACCCTTATAACAATATCAGTGAGTCTCTTAACATATCAAATAATTTAGCCTTTTTATGGTGAGGTTAGTTCAGATTGAAAAACGCCGTGGTGTGACTCCCCCAAAATGTAATATTTGTAAAAAATAAATAAATAAACACTCACATGTATTCCTGGTGTGAAGAAAAAATGTTGATTCTTCATTGTTAAATTACAGCATTTCTTGATTTTTAAAGTCACTAAATTTATTATTCTTGAAAATGATATTAATGGTATAAAAGGTTTTTAAAGTCATGAAACCCCGAATACAAAGTATACATTTCTAAAAACTGGGCACATGACATTTCTTTATCTTGAACATTCTTATTTGCCATTTTCTAGACTAGTTTACTGTTTGTTTGTCAATTAAAAATATTCTTATATTATCTAAAGGCTCACTCCATATTTACTGACTCATGTTGCCCACTGAGTCTATATTGAGTTTGAGTTTATTTGACATAAAAAGTAGCAATACAACTGTGTTACAAATTCTTTGTCAAGGATAACACAATCATATTCATCAAACATTTTGTCTTACAAGTGCATATAGAGGACATTCAAGGAAAACAGATGCAACTTAACAGATGCACACATCAAGCATGTGCATAATAAATCCTGAAATTCCAAAGGCTGAAATAAAAGCCTCTGTAAAGTCAGCAAATAAAAATAAAAGATTAAATGAATGAAAAGGCAAATTAACAAATGAGATAAGCAAAGTTACCTTTTACCAGACAGGCAACTCCCTTTGTCATTATGAATGTGGCAAGAAAGTATATCATCCTTTCGCTCACTCACTGTTAGTAGGAAATGCTGCGCTATTAACAGTGTCACTATGGGTTGACAGACATCTTATTCTCTAAATCTCGTCTAATAGGATTACATTCACTGTGCAATGTAGGTGAATAGCCTGTAAAGAGACAGGAAAATAAAAAAATAAAGATAAAATAGAGATAAGATTACAATTTACTAATTGGATGTTACCATTTCCTTAAATTAAATATCATGTGTCCAAATGTGTGATTTTATAATTGACATGACCACTTTCTTTACACCATTTATGTTTATTTGTTATTAGCTATAAATAACAGATATCTGGAAATTACATATGATAATGACTAACATTTCATTGAACACGTATTTTATTAATAAATACAGGGGCAAAGCTTGCTCACACACTTCTGAATCTAAAACCTCTTTTTTCCCATTTAACCCCAGTATACTCATCTATTACTTTCTATGTCTGAGAATGCTACAACCAATAACATAAACATAAAAGCCAGCAAGGTCACGACTCCAATATAACGATGTGGCCTTAATGGAAAATGCCCCTCAGAATCGTTTTGCTCCAGGCGGTAGTTACCAATTTAGAAACCCTATTCTGAATGAACAGAATCACTCAGCTGAGAGAGCGAGCCTGTGTGATTGAAATTTATTGTTTCATTCCTAAGATCTCAAAAAAAATTATTTTGTATAACAAAGATTTTAATGACTTAAAAGCAGGAATAAATATGTTCATGTTGCAGTTTAAGGCACACAAGATAAGATAAAAATTTGCACTAAAACTGACAGCTAGAGTTTCCAGAAGATTTTACAAACATCACAGGGTGGCATTTTGTATTTTGTCATTAAATTATATAATGTTAATATAATAACTGAACTGAGACGTATTATTAAAATAATTGCAATTCTAAAATACTTTTTAAAAACACTAAAAAAAAAAAACCTTTAAAATAAAATTAGCATAATTTATTGTAAAGCTATACATGTTGCAAAGTGAAATGGAACAATTAGAAATCTTCTTCTTCCTCTTTCGGCTTCTCCCGATTAGGGGTCACCACAGCGGATCATCCGTTTCCATTTTGCACTTTCCTCTGCATCTTCCTCTGTCACACCAACCTGTGTCCTCTGTCATGTCCTCCATCACCACATCCATGAACCTCATCTTTGGTCTTCCGCTTCTCCTCCTGCCCGTTGGCTCCATCTTCAACATTCTTCTGCCGACATACCCTGCATCCCTCCTCTGCACATTCCCAAATCTCAGTCTTGCCTCCCTCACTTTGTCTACAAATTGTCCTACCTGTGCTGTCCCTCTAATATGCTCATTTCTGATCCTGTCCATTCTTGTCACTCCCAAAGAAAATCTCAGCATCTTCAACTCTACCACCTCCAGCTCCTTCTCCTGTCTTTTTGTCAGTGCCACCACCTCCAAGCCATACAACATAGCTGGTCTCACTACCGTCTTGTAAACGTTTTCTTTCACTCTTGCAGGTACCCTTCTATTGCAAATCACTCCTGACACTCTCCTCCACCCACTCCACCCTGCCTGCACACACTTCTTTACTTCTCTACCACACTCTCCATTACTTTGGACAACTGACCCCAAATATTTAAACTCATCCACCTTCACCACTTCTGCTCCTTGTAACTGTACAGTTCTGCTGCCCTCTCTCCCATTTATGCGCATGTACACTGTCTTGCTCCTACTGTCTTTCATTCCCCTTCTCTCCAGTGCGTACCTCCACCTCTCCAAACTCATTACTCCCTACTCTCACTACAAATCACAATATCATCCACGAACATCATAGTCCATGGGGGTTCCTGCCTGATCCCATCTGTCAGCCTGTCCATCACCATTGCAAACAAGAAAGGGCTAAGAGCCGATCCTTGATGCAATCTCACCTTCACCTTGAACCAGTCTGTCATTCCTACTGCACACCTCACCGCTGTCACAGTGTCCTCATACGTATCCTGCACCACTCTCACATACTTCTCTGCCACTCCTGACTTCCTCATATAATACCACAACTCTTCTCTCATCATAAGCTTTCTCTAAATCCACAAACACACAATACAACTCATTCTGGCCTTCTCTATACTGTACTTCTCCAACAACACTCTCAAAGCAAACACTGCATCCGTGGTGCTCTTTCCTGGCATGAACCCATACTGCCGCTCACAGATTATCACCTCTCCTCCTTTCAGTCTAGCTTCCACTACTCTTTCACATAACTTCATGGTGTGGTTAATCAGCTTTATACCCCTGTAGTTACTGCAGCTCTGCACATCTCCTTTGTTCTTATAAATCCGGTACGAGTACACTTCTTCTCCACTCTTCAGGCATGCTCTCACTTTCCAAGATGTTATTAAACAACCTGGTTAAAAACTTCACTGCCATCTCTCATAAGCATCTCCATGCCTCCACTGGTATCTCATCTGGACCAACCGCCTTTCCACTCGTCAACTTTTTCATAGCTGCCCTCACTTCATCCTCACTAATCCCCTGTACTTCCTAATTCACTATTTCCACATCATCCAACCTTCTCCCTCTTTCATTTTCTACATTCATCAGTTCCTCAAAATACTCCATCCACCTTCTCAACACCATCTCCTCACTTGTCAGCACATTTCCAATTGCATCCTTTATCACCCTAACCTGTAGCACATCCTTCCCAGCTCTATCCCGCTGTCTAGCCAATCAGTACAGGTCCTTTAACCCTTCCTCAGTGTTCAACTTCTAATCCAGCTTGTCATACGCTATTTCTTTAGCCTTCGCCACCTCTTCCTAAGCTTTGCACCGCATCTCCTTTTACTTCTGCTTACTTTCTTCATCTCTCTGATAATCCCAATTCTTTTTTGCTAACTTCTTCCTCCTTATGCTTTCCTGTACTTCTTCATTCCACCACCAAGCTTCTTTGTCTTCCTTCCTCTGTCCAGATGTCATACCAAGTACCTTCCTAGCTGTCTCCCTCACCACTTCTGCAGTGGTCACCCAGTCATTCGGTAACTCTTCACCGCCACCGAGTGCCTGTCTCACCTCCTTCCTGAATTTCACGCAACAGTCTTCCTCCATCAACTTCCACCATTCTATCCTTGGTTCAGTCCTTACTCTCTTCCTCCTCTTCACCTCCAAAGTCATCCTACAAACCACCATCCAATGCTGTTTAGCTACACAATCCCCTGCCACCACCTTACAGTCTTTGATCTCATTCCGGTTGCATCTCCTGTGTAGAACATAGTCCCATAGTGTGCACCTTCCCCCACTCTTATACGTCAAACTGTGCTTCTGCTTCTGCTAAAATATGTATTTATCACTGCCATTTCCATTCTTTTTGCAAAATCTACCACCATCTGCCCTTCCCCATTCTGTTTCTTGACACCATACCCATCACCTCCTCATCACCTCTGTTCACCTTCTCCAACTTGCCCATTGAAATCACACACACCCCACTTGCAGGGGATATGCACTGATGACATTTATCACTGCCCCTTCAAATTCCAGTTTTACACTTATCTTTCTGTCACTCTATTCACCTCCAATACATTCTTTACATACTTTTTCTTTCGGGATTACCCCTACACCATTTCTCTTTCCCAGTGTTAATTTCGTTGACGAATAATTTTCGTCATAATTGTCGTCAACGAAATTTTTTTCACAGACGACAACGAGACGATAACAAACTAAAACTCTTTTTGAATGACAAAAACTATGACGTAAATCTATTGACATTTTCGTCAATGAATAAAAACGAGATGAAAATGTTAGGGAGGGACGATTTGGGAAGAGATTCAGAACGAATCTGCTGCGTGGTTCGGAGGTTAGATGCGTACATATGAACCGGCGGGACATGAGCTAACATACACTTGCTGCACATCGCATAAAACGTTAAAAAAATGTCAATATGTGGGAGTAAGAGAAGAGCAGACATATGGATAAATCTGACGACGCAAGAGAGAACTCAATTCGCTCCGGTTTTCTGAGCGCAGACCCTGAAGCATACACATACAGAAAGTGCGTCTCACAGCGCGCGAGTACTCTTTCGTGTCGCATGAACGGAGAATTGCGACAATCAAGCAACAAAAGAAAGACAGAAAATCACGCATTGCTCTTGACTGAAAACCTTTAGTAGCTCTAAAGATTAATCTAAATTTATTTATAGAAATAAATATGTCTGCTTAAAAGAATGAGGAATATGGTAAACAAGTTGCTATAAAGAATGCATAATTAGCCTATATAACCATTGGTATTTCATTAAAAAGAAGACCATGTTCTTGTTCTTTATGAGAAGTCTTATGATATTTAGTCGACTAAAACTAGACTAAAACTAAAAACAGTTCAGATGACTAAAATATGACTAAAACTAAATGGCATTTTAGTCAAAAGACTGTGACTAAAACTAAATCAAAATTTGCTGTCAAAATTAACACTGCTCTTTCCATCCACATCATGGTAGAAGAGTTTGAATCCGCCTCCGATGCTCCTGGCCTTACTCCCCTTCCACTGGGTCTCTTGCACACACAGTGTGCTTTTCTCTGTTCCATCATGTCAGCCAGCTCTCTCCCTTTATCAGTCATAGTGCCAACATTCAACATTCCGACTCTCACATCCACTCTCTTACCCTTCCTCTTTTCTCGTTGTCTCTGGAGACGCCTTCCCCCTCTCCTTCTCCTTTTTCCCCAACAGTAGCATAGTTTCCACTGGTACCCTGCTGGCCAGCAGTACTAGTGGCGGTCGTTGTTAACCCGGGCCTCGACTGAGAGTGCACTGGCTTTTGCAACCCCAGTGGCTGGGTTGAACAATTATAAATAATATAATTAATTTTACTGTATTTATAATATATTTGAATAATTCCACCAGTTTTCAGTGTATTGTTTCAATTACCATGTTTACCCTATTTTTATTGGCCATATTACGTAAAAATATATGTATAAAAATAAATAAATATAACAAATACAAGATTTAATATAAATATATAAAAAATATATACAGTAAAATAGTAAAATAGATTTTGTTGTAAAACATTACTTTATTTTTGTTGTTGTTGCTGTTGTCGTTGTTGTTGTTCAAATTACTTTTACTTTTTTTACAGTGTAGCTTCCCCAGGAATCTCTTTACCACTAAAAAAAAAAAAACTTTGTTTAGCTCACACAAAGTGTGAGTCATCTATTTATTACTGTATATTTATGTTTCATATTTTCTGCTATAATATGATTTTTTTTTCTCCATGAAAAATATTTAATTTTGGCAAAGGTACAGCAATGCATTTTCTGCTCAACCTAATCTGTTATTGGCATTCAATCCTATCAAAACATGGTCATTTTGTATTATGAGCTTTTGCTCTGCCTCTTCCACACAAACTGTAAATAGACCCGGATGGCTTCCTTGTTCAAATCCCTCACCTTCCAATTCATTTCAACACAAGATTAGCACCTATGTGCCCTTACACACAAAAAAAACATGCCCCATAATTGATTTGATGTGAATTAAACCTTTTTGAAGTGAGTTAAACCTTTAATCACCTAAGTCATGTATGAGCTTTTGCTCTGCCTCTTCCACACAAACTGTAAATACACCCGGATGGCTTCCTTGTTCAAAACCCTCACCTTCCAATTCATTTCAACACAAGATTAGCACCTATGTGCCCTTACACACAAAAAAACATGCCCCATAATTGATTTGATGTGAATTAAACCTTTTTGAAGTGAGTTAAACCTTTAATCACCTAAGTCATGTAAACTGACACGTATGCCCTTAAACATAATGAGAAAGACAATCATGATTTGATAAGCCAGACACCTGAGTGAAGATCTCATCCTAATCTCACACTCATTCACAACTGACTTTTCACTGTTGACTGACAGTCTTTGATGGATTACTCATCCGTACTATAGATGATGCGCCGGGTTTCCTACCTGCACCACCCATTAAAAGTGACAGAGTTTGGTGACCTTGAGGAATTGACGCACAGGTAGCTTATAAAAGAAGACTAGATGAGGGTTTCAGACATCAGAGACAAGCAAACGCACACATAACCAGACAGATCAGAGATCCTCAGAGAGAAGAACCTTGGCAGGCTGACTTCTTTCTGCACAACAGGTGGGTAAGAAATTCATCCAGGGAGGTTCAGCTTTACATTTTTTTTTTTTTTGCAATGTCTAATAATTAATGTATTCATGCTTATTTTATTAATTTAAAGTGTTATTTCACAAATATGCATTCCATTCACAATATTTTCTTTGTTCTTATAATTCTGGCATGCAATGAAATAATGCTTTGCATAACTATGCATGCATTAAATGCGATTGAGTGTGCATAAATGTGAATATTGCTATGTTATTAATATTGACATTAATCATTGTGTTCTGTCAGATATTGTGAGGGGAGTGAGGATGTTGTGTCCTGCTTGGCTCTTGGCTCTGGCTGTTCTATGTGCGGGTGGGTCTGAAGTCAGAGCTCAGTGTTGGGAGAACACCCGCTGCAGAGACCTCACCACTGACGAGAACATCTTGGTGAGTTACAATATTCCTTGCACAAATGACTGCTTAGCTTCTAATGTTAGAACTTTCAGCTCAGTTTGCAAGTTATCTCAAATTCAAATTCAAATAAACACATCTTATTGATTAATAGTGAGGCAAATGTCACTACTATGATTGCTAATTGTTTAGGATTAGGGATTTGAACCACAACCCAGAATGAGGACTCAATTCATGTGGCTTGCCGAGAAGAGGTGTGTTTTTACTAAGTAATGATTGTAGCCAAACAGAGGCTAGAAGAGGGGAGGGCAAAAAAGACTTTACATTAGACATTAGAGAGACTTGTATCTAAAAAGGGGGACATCATAGAATAACACAGAGACTCTTGGTTGGACTTTTTTGACTTGGGTCAGTATGTAATCACTCAAAAAACCCGAGCAACCATCTAGCAATGTCCCAGCAGCCACTAATGAAACAAAAATGCATCTTGTTTACCTGAAAGCTTACTGGTACATTAGCTAGTATGGAGAAAAAAGACATTTTAAAAAGTCAGTATTCATTTAACGTTTTGGTTAAGTGACCTTTGTCAATAATTTACAAGCAGAGCACAGTGTGATGTAGCATATGCAAATGTGTCCACGTGTAACATTTTTGTCATAGTTTTAGTAATTTTTCTAATTTTCTGCTGGTTTTTCTTTTCAGTTTGTTTGCATTTGATATGTTCTATGTCTTCGTATTGACCATTTTATGAATAATTCCACCATTTTCCAGTTTATTTTTCAGTTATAATGCTTAGCTTGTTTTTTGGCCTTGTCATTACATGCCCGTATTTTGCTAATTTACAAGCTCGTAATGCTTTTTGGGGGACTCACATAATTTCAAAACACTTTTTTCTGATACTGTACATTGTTGCAACATCTTTTCACCTTCTGCCTCTAAAAAAAATAAGTCCATATCTCTTTAAAGCTCAACTTTCCAAAAAAAAACAAAACTAGTCTGCTCTGATTGGTCAGCTGCTTAGACCATGTGCCAGAAATGTAATGTTCTAACCATACAGTAATTGAGCTCATTCAGCTGGCAAGGCTTCATGAGGAGCTGTAACAGTATTGTATCCTGTGGCATCTGTATTGGAAGTCCATACAATCTTTTTTTGATTGTATGGATTGAAAAAAAAAACAGCATCTCCGTGAAGTAGCGAATTCACTTACCCAGCTTTTCTTTGAAGGCAGACCAAAGCAGCCAGTAGGCAGGTATTATGCAAATGTTTAACATGTTGCGGTAGTCACAGAAATAATGGCAGGGCTACAAACCAAACATTTCGTGTGTTTTCTGTTGGAGAAATGAGCTCCATTTGGTGTGGACTTTGTGTTGTGTAACTTTGCAGATCATTTACAGCTATATTACACACTAAAGAAAAGCTTAAAATAAAAAACACAACATGATAGGTGCCCTTTAAATATCTTCTCTGATTGGTCTTTTTGTATTTTACTTTTGCCGATGAAGACATGACTGAAAAGTTATAGTAAATAGGCTACAGTTTGGTTTTGAAAAATGGGCACAGCAGCACCACAACATTTGCCTTTTCTTTAGAAAATGTAAAACTCTCTAGTTTCTTCTTTTGCTCTTCCTAAGAACTGCATACAGCTATGCAGGTCTGATCTGACAGATGAAACCCCAGTCTACCCCGGAGAAAGCCATTTGCAGCCTCCCTCTGAACTGGAGCAAACCGAGGTCCTCGCACCTCTGTCCCCTGCTGCCCTCGCTCCTGCTGAGCAAATGGACCCCGAGTCCAGCCACGAGCACAAGCGCTCTTATTCCATGGAGCATTTCCGTTGGGGAAAGCCAGTGGGTCGCAAGCGCCGGCCTATCAAGGTGTACACGAACGGCATGGAGGAGGAATCTGCCGAGACTCTCCCAGCCGAGATGAGACGCGAGCTGGCCACCAACGAGGTCAACTATCCTCAAGAGGAGAGTGCTTTAAACCAGCAGGAGAAGAAGGATGGCTCCTACAAAATGAACCATTTCCGCTGGAGCGGCCCACCTGCTGGCAAGCGCTACGGAGGCTTCATGAAGTCCTGGGACGAGCGCAGTCAGAAACCCCTTCTCACACTCTTCAAAAATGTCATAAACAAAGAGCATCAGATGAAGGACCAGTGAGGGGGTTTTAATGGGATGAGTGGGTAGGGGATTGTTTTTAATATACTTTCTCCCCAGCAAACTTATCATGCATAGTCAACAAAAAGAGGGTGGGTGGTGTTGCCAGTAGCACTTAATTCTTGACACTTAGTTTATTCACATTGTATAACAACAATAAATTCTGAATTCTGTACATAGAAATGCTGTGGTGATTAAATACTGATGTAGAGGCTACAAAAACAGCATTTTTGGATTATGTATTGAAATGTATTATACTGTAAATTTTGAAAATGTGATATAAAATGATTGTTTCAAGCAGAAAAGAACAAAATCGTTCCTTTCTGAGAAACAAGCAGACATCAGAATCATTCAGCAGTATGTGCAGTTGCCAATAAAGCTATAAACACAGGTCAGACTTTGAATTCATAAAAGTAGTCTTTAATTGATATTCTTATTATTCACACCACATATGTACATCACTTAATGATTTCATGTAGGCAAACATTCACAGAACACAGTTCTGAAGTCTCATCCTTTTACAGTGACAGTATCTAAACACATAACAGGAACAAAGTTGACTAATTGCGGTCCACAGTGTTGTAATGATCTCACTTAAATGAAAAATGATAAAAGCACAGACAAAACACCCAGTGCATGCAGCAGCTGACAAGGAAAGACTAAACTCTGATATTTCATACATGCAAAATCACCTCACATGTAAGCAGTCTAGAATATTCAATCAGATGAACATCATAGCCATATTGACAAAGATAAAAACCACTTGTTTTTTATGCTTACAAATAAACTCAAGGTATCACCAAAAATATATATAAAATAAAATAAAACATGAAAAATGACTTGAACTAAAAAACAAACAACAAAAAGAAAGACCATGGGCTTTTATGACAGAAAAGTAAACATGTTTTTATGTGGAACTGGAACAATATGACATGACAACAGATATAACACACCATCACATTTTAGACAAGAACACATCAAGATGACATTTTTCAGCATACACCACATTTACACAGTGAGCTTTAAAGTGCTGCATTTAAACCCAGGATAACAAAATCTTGATGTAAACTTGAAATTATTTACAAATTTAAGTAAAATAAAGGACTTGTTACTGTACAAGTGACAAATGAAACACACAAATTATGGCAAAAAAGGTAGATAATCGATCCCTTTAGACCCTAAAAGTAGTGTCTGAAAAGGTGTGGTCACATTTGCAAGCAAAATGCCATTATTTCAACAGGAATCCATGTTATTGAGAATTTCCCGTGAGATGGCATGCGTTGACCAACAGAAAGCTGCTTGGTTTGAAAGTGAATATAGCAAAATACCAATAGGAATACACACAATCTGGAATTTCATGCCAGGGCAAAAGATTTTCTCAAGCAGATTTCGCAATGGGTTCAAGTTGGCCATGCAAATTCGCAGAAAGCTGCTTGGTTTGAAAGTGATTTCTGTGTGTACTGTGCTTTATACATTATGACACCATGGTACAGAAAAAAAAAATGATGCAATCAAACCAACACTACGCAAATGAAAACCCTTCACGTATGAAACTGCACCGATAAGAGTATAATGAATAATGATACAGGTCTGACTTTACTATGTGAATGTAACACATTCACTTTCTTACACACAGCGACATTAAGCCATCAGTTCTGACTGGAATACTGCATTGAGTTAAACTAGAAACTAAGTATTTACTGTATGTTTCCTCAGCTTCTACTCAACAGGTTTTATTTTTTAATTTCAATAATTATTGCTTTAAATACAGCTGTTATTGCAGCATGTAGAGACGGTTTAAACATGCGATCAAAGCTTGTATTTAGTTAAACTGACCATACCCACACAAACACACAAAAAAAAACACGTGGAAACACATCTGGGACATTTTTGGACACATTTTCTTAACTTAAATACAAAACTTAAGGCAGCTTTACTCTTTAGTTGAACAAGAAAACCAATCACTTGCTCTGAACAACAGACTGTACACACTTACACAGTAACCTGAACATGAAAACCTCATTCTGCTCTCTACGCTATCAGACAAGATACGATCATTTGTCGATAAATTCTGTTTTGTTTTGTTTTTTCATCTAAACTAAGTTTTTAAGTGCATATATAACCAACATATGTTATATTCTCTTGGTTTGTTTGTCTTTGTTGGCATAAATAGACTTCAGGATAAAGTACAGCCGTAATCCTTATCTAAAGTCAGATATTACACTAGAGAACACAGTTTAGAAGAAACAGAGTTACACCTGGACATTGAGAAGGAGTGATAATAGTGGGATGAAAACAGCTGCATGTGGTGACTAGGGCTCCTGGGTCTCTCAGTATACACAGAGGTCTGGAAACGTCATTTCATAGACTGGTATGGAGCGGCTCCGGCCGTGACCATTTCCGACAGAGCCAGATGGACTCGGTGGAGGCCTATCCAACAGAGAGAGAGCGAAAGACAGATGGAACAAGTGTCAATTACATGAGACAGACAATACAGCCTTTTTCCACTGTAGTGGTTTCCTACTCGACATTTTTATATGGCTATTACATAAAATATTTGTCCTTTATGCACAATTGAATGATTAGGAAAGCTAATTTATAAAATCTCACAGAAAACAGTTTTATATTATGTACCTGATTGTGATTTCGAAGATTTGGTTGAGTTTACTCTGCAACAGGGAAGCCTAGAGAGAAACAGTACAGGCGGAGAGTTCATGCACAAAGTAAAAAGAAATGAACAGATGTAGGAGCTGAACAGAAGAGCTGTGTTTGTGCTTTTTGATGATAAAATTAGAGTGTGTACGCTAGCTAGGCATTGGACTCACCCTGGCCCCACAGTGGGCTGCTATCTCCTCAAACGGGGCGGTCTGAAACCTCTCCACCACCTGCCTTCTACGCTCTCTCTCCAGCTCCTCCACATTCACGCTGTCTACTGAACAAACACACACACACACACACACACACACACAAACACAGGTGATTCTGTGCTAAGTGACATAGACCAGCCTAGAAAATGTTTTCAGTTTAAGTTAAATTTATGGATATTGCTACTAACAACATTTTTTTGGTACCATGTCTTCTCCAGTCATTTGTGGTTACTCAATAAGGATTATTTAAAATCATATTTTACAGAGATCATTAATCAGAGTGACAGTTTTGCACCAATACTATAACTACACTATAAAAGTCAATATAAAAGAATGACTTAATTACAGTAACGTAGTCTGGGGTTGATAAGATTTTTTTAAATGTTTTAAAATGATGTTTTAAACACAGTAAATACAGTAATATTGTGAAATAATATTACAATTTAAAATAAATGTTTTCTATTTTAATATATTTAATTGCTTTTACTTTAAAATTGTATTCTGTATTTTCAGCTGCCATTACTCCAGTCTTCAATGTCAATACTTTTTCAGGATTATTTGGTGCATATACAGTATAGAATATATTATATATAAGATATAAAATACATATATATATATATACAGTGGGTACGGAAAGTATTCAGACCCCCTTAAATTTTTCACTCTGTTATCTGCTCTGCTGTGGATCTCTGTAAAGACACCGAACGTAGGTTAAAAAAATACCGCTGATAGTAGATACAATTCTAAGAGGTGGACACACACATACAGACACTCAGCAGTGTAATAAAGATGAGGATGTTTTACCTGCTCTTTCTCTGGACTGTTTCTAGACTCCATCTCTAACTGCAGAGAGACAGTGTCTCCAATACTCTTCCTCTTGGACAGTCGGTCTTCATCTGCGTTAGTTACAAAAATAATATTTTCGTAATGTACTGTGTTATGAAGAATTCCAGAAAAAAAGCTCAGCTGTACTATAACATTTAAATGTAAAATGCCCTCACTGTATGTGTCTAATGACACATAACTGTAGTTCAAAAATACGACAGGACATCCAGTTTCAATGTATTTAAAGCTCAGGCTGAGGGTCAGACCTGTGATCTGTGGGATGTATGAAGTGGCCAGTCTCTCTGTGTTGTATCCGCTGCCGCCCAGCATCTCTGCTATCTTAGTCTGCACAAACAGCACCTCTCCCTCCACCTTCTCCAACTTCTCTGGGATCCTGAAAGAGAAAGAGGCTAAAGATATTCTTCAGCTTTATATTGGTACACTTTTCCGAGGTAGTAGAAACCAGATGGATAAGAGATCTCTGAATGTTTTGTGGGTTTAATGCCTTACATAACCATTTGCTCAGCACATCACAGCTGAAAATGTCCCAAGGATGATCTTATAGTGAACTGAAAGACATTGAACTGAGTAGAAACTGTACAGTATGTTCTCTACCCAGTACATACGTTTGTAAGAACTGAGACAGAACTAGGCATTTCTGTTGGTTTATTAGTGTGAACCACGGCAGAAAAGCAGTGTATCTCATAATGGTGAGAAGAACATTATGGTAGTTTGAACAGTCTATGTAAGTGTTGCTTACTTTGAGCTCTCAACAAGAACATCCTCTGGCAGCAGGAAAGGGACGAGTTTCTTTCTTGACTCAATCACCTGTGGGAAAAAACAGACAGACAGATAGATAGATCTATAGATACAGTAGATAGATTCACAGACAGACAGATAAATGGATCGATGGAAGGACGGACGGACAGACAAACGGGCAGGCAGACAGACAGAAAGATAGGTCTCACCTCATGGACATGTTGGCAGAATGTAGGCACAGTGGTCAGCTGACAGATGAGGTTCAGGTACACAGCTGACAGAGCGTGGATGGCACAGCGGGTATATACAGGAAGAGCCTCTTCAGTCAAGGCCAGGTCCTGAGGAAGAGGACGCATCAGGGGAAATGAAAAAAGGCTGAGAACTATTGTTATTGTACTCTTATTGTACTGACACTTTTATGACTTATAGTTGAATATTATACAGTGAGTACTGGAGCATAATGTAAAGAGATGCCGACATAAAGGTCGACTTGTGTTAGGTTTGAAAATGTATATTAATTAACATATATCATTATGCTGACCCTATGTGTCCACTGGCATATTTATTCAGCCCCACAGCCATGTACATATCACAGAGGTGAGAGAAATTACCTGTAATGCCAAAGCCAGTCGGATCAGGTCCACCACCGCCTCCTCATTGGCCAGCTCCACACAGATCAACCCCAGCAGCGTATAAAGAGACTCAAAATGCCGCTGGACGCTGCTCTCCTCTTTGCAGGCTAGGTAAATGTGGCGGTATAGCCTCTGGCTGTGTTTCTTCATGAACAGGTTATCCTGCCTTGAGCACTTGTCTACTTTCAGCTTCAGTACTGAGATATCTGAGATAATTCTGTTGAAAACGATAGCAAAATGCACTGTAGAATCTTTTGTCAGGTAACTCTCAGGGACCTACTGTAGCAAAACACTTTGTGCAATTAAATAATATCTATTTTTAAAACATATATAAGAGCAATTCATACAGCGAAATGTATGATAGCGAGAAATACATTTTTAACCAATAACTAACCAAAAGCTATTGTAAGCATGGTATTACAATATGTGACCCTGGACCACAAAACCAGTCTTATGTTGCGCGGGTATATTTGTAGCAATAGCCAAAAAAACATTGTATGGGTCAAAATTATAGATTTTTCTTTTATGCCAAAAAT